ATAATGCTGTATAAATAAATAATAAATAAAATAATTATTCTGTCGAGTTATCTAAGTAAATATATTTACTTTTTATTTCAATGATGGAATAGGTAACTAATAAATTATGAGTATAAAGTAATACACACATTTTTTGATACAATAAAATAGGTACATACTTAAGTCTTAAAATTATTCTTAATCCTAAAAACGTAACTGTTTGATTAATTTTTTTGCTGTCGTCATTTTTGACGTATCAAATACATTTTTTTTTTATAGTTAGGTACCAAATGATATTAATTTGCAGCCTTACAACTTTCAGTCATATTTTATTAATAAAGATGTGACATAAAATATAAAACTAATACAGTACTTTTATAACTCACGTATCGGCGAAATGGATGCTTTTTAGTAAAAATAAATTCCATGTAATAATTATAAGATATTTTTCTAAGGGACACTTAGTAGATACAAGATCAATAAACATTTGAAACGCAATTATTTGTAAGTACTTACATCAATTTGTACTTATTTCAACTTTATTTTATGTTAATTTGACAATGATGTGTATGTTTCTTTTGAAAATTTTTATTTTTGTTGGGGGTGGTTGTCAGGAGTCTGAAGACACTTTATAGTAGAATTCATTACTCTGATAATCAACATTGAAGTAGGTTTCTGATACCTAATTGTATCTAGTCAATAGTTTAGTACTCTTAAAAGATTAAAATTGAAGGTTTTCCGTACTTTTTCAAAATATAATATTTTAACCATATAATATTTTCATAGGTATTATTTGGTAATATTAACATTGGTTACTAACAAGTTAGATTGTTTTCGCTCAGGCAGGTTTTTGTCGGAATACAATTTATCATTGAATTAACATTTAAYACATCCATTAAAGAGCCTACTCAATGACGARATACACTTGACACAGTAGAATTGTGTACCTATCTACTACTGTGCGCAGAGAGGTTAACTACTAAATGACTTTTTCATTCAATTTTTTTCTATAATGTTGATAGATATTTATTTTTAACCACAATTAACATCGAATTTATTATAACGCCCGATTATTTATGTATTTACTTGTGTTAAAATTTTAATTTGTAAATTGTTCACTTCATGCGAATCCAGCCACTTTTACTGAAATTGAATACATTGTTTTTATTTCGTATAAACCAATGCCGCAACTAAGACTGAGTACGTATTATGCTATTCAACCTAGTTAATGATATTCGCAGGTAATTCGGAAACACCRATTCATATCACTGCAATAACATAAAATATATTGATTTAAGCCAGTGCCCTAAGATGCATAAGTTAGAACATTTTAAATGCTTAGATATTTATGTTTATTAGGAGAGCCAATGAAAATTAGTTGTGTAGTTCTGACTGGCTGCCAGATAGCCTAAGCGCCATCAATTATTAATCATTTCTTTTGTTGCAGTACGGTACGTGCCCGGTGTGTCGTAGATACTTCTGTCCCGGTGAGCTTCATTTAMCGCGGGAACGAGTCGGTGTTTTTCGGTCCATAGTCCGTCGGTTGCACCGCACGCTCTGTTCGCCGTTGTTCTATTTCTTTCCTAATCTCGAATTTTCTCATTCTATGAACAATAGACGTCGGGCGACGCCTATGTACAGATTCATACGTGCGGAGCGAGTGATATCGCCACTAGAACCCGTCGAGAGCGAATCCAATGAAATTATCGACGACTACATATTTTGCCACGTCATGTTCGTCTTACAGAACACTAACAACGAACAGCATCCCGGCTCACCCAACACCATAGCCGCAAACATGCGCAGGCGCTTTAGTCGCTTTCACCATGAACCCGACGGAAATCTTGGAGCTGCAGGCGAAAACCCACTGCCCCAACGATCGGGATTTCATTTTCCTGCTGATGTCCTCTCCACAGAGTACMTAGGTCATTACTAGTGCCCGCGAATAAAACGTAGTCAATACTCGCTATAACCAATGGCAGAGCTTAGTGAAGTAGTAACATTATAGTAAAAAATCCTTAGTCGATTACGTTAAACTATAACGTATAGTGCATGAGTATATGATAGAAATATTATATAGCATTGTGTATTCAATAGGTACATATGAAGTTAGTGATGATCAAAAATCATCTATAGCATAATATTATTATCAAACACAATAAAAAATA